TGTACCACGAGCACTCAGGCTCCCCCAATTCAGATCTAGATCAACCCTTTACACTTCCCGAACCGGACCTCTCGCTCTGGCCCCAAAAAAAAGTCTGGACAAGCTCAGTCGTGGATAACATTACCTGCTCTATGCTCATAAATCTCCCCGACACTGACAAAGAATTTCTCCTTTTCCAAATCAATCGTCACTAAGAAGGTGGTACCCTCCCCACTGAATGAACTTCCTCCATTATCTCTCTCATTCTGAAACCTGAAAAATCAGCTACCCTTGTGTTGGAAAGACCACGGAACGTTTGGCGCTTGCACGTCTAAACAATCTTCTCGATAAAACTAATTTCCTTGCTCACCACCGAATTGGTTTCCTATATGTCCACCCAGGATATCTTTCTTCTACTGCAAGAAACCTTCATAATTTTTACAGACCGCCAGGGTCATGCACTCGTCACAGTTGACGTCCGGGAAGACTTGGATACCTTGCTACACGATGCAATTTTCGCCCCCCTGCACGAGACTGGCTGTGATCTTCATTCATCCGTTCTCGATGGGCAAAAATTAGGCTTTGCGACAACCTTTCCCCGGTAATCACACTCACCCGCGACACCCCTTAAGGTGCCTTACTCTCTTCAACCCTTTTTTAACCTCGGTATGGCTCCACACGCGCGAACCCTGTCCGTGATCCCACACTTTCACTGCCTCTACTACACAGACGACATCACGCTCTGGTGTACCCACGGGTCGGCGGAGGAGGTAAAATCTACCGACCAAACCGGTCTTGATCTTATTGCAAAGTTCCTCTCCCGCGCAGGCCTCCAAGCTGCTTTTGAGAAATCGGAGCTCCTACTCCTCTCCCACTCCCACTACCAGCGGCCAGCTAACTCGCTTACCTTCCTACACCTAGACAACCGACCTATCCCTTGCTCCCCCTCTTCTCGGGTAGTGGGTTTTCCTTCCCAGTACCGTACATATACCAAGGCAATTCAGACAACCTTAAACACCTGCCATCAGGTAACACACCTGGTCCACCGAGTGGTTCGGAGACGCGGTGGGGTCGACGAACGCAGAGCCGGCGAATTAGTTACAGCTTTCGCCTTAAAGAAGATCCTCTACTACACTCTCCCTCACTGTGTGCTTACGCGAACACAGACGAAACGTATACAGTCAGCCCTTAATGCACTCTATAAAACAGCTCTACGCTTCCCTATACACGGATCTACAGAGAAACTTCATGCTACGCTGTTTTTTCCCGCTTCCTACTCTCCTCAGACTTCACAGGGACAGTCAACTGGATCGCCTGTCTGGCTCTACGTAGCGCCACTGTTTCCTGCAACGAGCAGGCGCACAACCTACTAATTTCCCCTTACACACCAGCCAAAAGCCTCTTACCGACCACCTTCGATGCGCCCCGCACCCTGCGCACATGACCCCTTGCCTGCATGCTAAACGCCGTCAAGCCCGGCTCATGCAGAACGACATTTTCCCACCTTATACTACAACATGCAACGTGAACGCTTCCCATTCCCCACCTCTGCGCCACAGCCTCTCTCACTGTGACGCGCCCCATTGCACCCACCGCTGGTCCCTACCCTAACCCAATTTTTCCGCTCGCTCTTGAGATTGCTGCCGTTGTGTATGCGACTCCAGAACTTACCTCCCTTCCTCCTGCCCACTGGTACCGGATTTGCACTGATTTCATGGAAGCGATTCAGGCAATTCGCGCGTACCGCGTTCCCGAGGAATTGCAGGACGACCTCTCCTCCGCCCTTTCACAACTTTTCCCTGCCTCGGTTGTGGTGGTGCGGGTGCCAGGCGATACAGAGATTGCCAGTAATGAGGTGGCTCATTAACTAGCCTGCGAGAGTCCTTTCCAGGCGCTGGTAATCCCATAGGCTTTCCCGCCTACGGCGGACGAGGCACATTTTACAAGACCTTGAAACAACACTACGCACAACTCCGACACTCAATGCAGACACTATCTACACCACCACTTTCAGCTTAATACCTCACAAACCCACACACTGACAGTCATCCAGCTTAACACACTCCTCACCCCCGCCCGGCTTTTCCTATATTGTTTCAGATCAGCAGCCCCCTGCCCCAATTTCCCCTGCCCCTAGGCGGACATTAAGCATCCCGATTGCCCCACCGCAGTCATCGGATCTCCCCACTACCCCAACCTCCCTCCTCCACACTGGCGGGTGTGGCTGGCCTCGGCGTCTCACGTCGATCAACTGGCTCTGGTCCGTTTAGCGGAGGAACACCTCTAGGGTCTTTATTTGACCCAGAATAAAGTCATCTTTTTCTCCGACTGACTCATAATACCGGGTGAAACAAGGAGACGGTAGGCTCTTTAAATCGACCGGAAAATTCGGTTTCTTAACCTATCGCGCTACGACTTTGTGCAGCGTTGCCCACACATGGTGCATTTTTTTCGTAAAATTTGCAAAGAGCGGACTTACCTGAGGAAAAAGTAAAGAAAGAAAAAGGCTTAGCTCCTATGGAAACGCAGCGACGCCACCGGTCTGCAATCAACACGGCGCCGTTTTGCACGGTAGACAAGAGATGGCGCAAGCGGTCGCGACGCCAACTTCCGCCAACGAACGAGCAGACGACGCCGAGAGCCGGCGTAATTAGCAGACAAGGAACTGCAGTTCCTTGCTGTTACCGCGCCTGTCTTTTTTGTTTCTGCGACTGTCGCCGCCTGCGGAACGCGCGCCGCTTTTGAATCGAAAAGATCGTCTGCTAAAGAGCCTTTGAGGAATACCTCGGCCAGCTCTCTGCGCCCGTATGCTCGTTCGTTGCGCCATCTCTTGTCTACCGTGCAAAACGGCGCCGTGTTGATTGCAGACCGGTGGCGTCGCTCCGTTTCCATAGGAGCTAAGCCTTTTTCTTTCTTTACTTTTTCCTCAGGTAAGTTCGCTCTTTGCAAATTTTACAAAACAAATGCACCATCTGTGGGCAACGCTGCACAAAGTCGTAGCGCGATAGGTTGAGAAACCGAATTTTCCGGTCGATTTAAAGAGCCTACCGTCTCCTTGTTTCACCCGGTAAATAGCGGAAATAGTTGGTACCATTATTATTTATCAAGAAATTAATCACTTTAGTGGCAGATTCCACATACACACATATTCAGGGTGCTTGTTTTTCATTCGAAAATATTTTTTAAGCGGTGATAGTTAGACGAGTGCTGTCTTCACCATTTATTGACGAGGCTCGGTAGACGTTATATAAACAGGTACTTTCCATAATCAGTTCACTAATTAACTCCAATTCGTTTATTCACGTTTTAATTATTATTTTAGTTTTTATTAAGTATTAATCAATTAATTTTTCACGTTTCTCCACCCGATTTAAGCGAACCGCCAAAAAAGAGTTCCACAAGCCCAGTCCCTAATGGCACTTCAAAGAGTGACGTAGACGTTTCAGTCAAGTGATCCCTTGTGTTGTCGGCCTATTCGCCAAGGACACGCCACCGAGAGAGTCACGACATGATTTAGGTGACTATGTCACTTTTCCAAACGTTATTCTCGACAGGGCATGCGGTGCTCTTCCTGAGCGCAATTTTTAAATCGGGGGAGAAAACGCGAAAATTAAGAGTAATATTAAAAAAAAGAAAAAAACATGACTTTTTTTGTAACTCTTTTAAACTAGTTTTGCCTCTAATATTTATTGCCGTGATTAATGCCATTACACTTGTAGAAACTGCTCTGATTCTACCGGTCTCGGGGAATGACACAAAGCGTAGTAATTTATTGACCATCATCTCCCGGGTCGCGATCCCGAGAGCCCCCGCGCATACGCGGCGACGGTCTTTTATCAGCGGGGAACGCTGAACCCATATGTTCTTATATTAGCCTTTAAGGCTTGTGCTTAGGATCGCAACAGAGGCCCCCCTTGGTAAGATTTCGAAATCTTAAAATTCGCCGATATATCGTATCAGACGTTTCTTAGGACAAAATAAATCTGAAACCACACACGTCATTCCCCTCTTTAAAAAATGCATCTTGTTTGTTTAAAAAGGCACTGACACATCAAAATCGTATTATCTTTTTATTATTCAGAACGATTGAAACGATGCCGGGACATTATCCTCAAAATTCGAAACTTGGGAATTCAGTACTTGTGAAGTAAAAAAAACAATTTTCAAATGCCGAATTCGAAGTTCCCGCGCGATCCGCGCCGGTGTGTTGACGTCAAATATTACGGAGTCCTGCAAGTCGACTTTCTTTCAAGACTCCGTGCTGTTGCCACCGCGACGCAAAGCGAAAAGGAAAGGAGCGAAAGAGATAAGGGCGCCGGCGGACGGGTTTTATTCCGTGCGAGCGGGGAGCGCCTGCCCAGACCGGACTCCGATTTTTGGTATTTGAAAAAGAAGAGCCGTAGTGCGTTCACAATTATGTTAAAAAACATGTTTTACAATTGCCGTTATTAAATGTTATAGAAATGCCGCCTACAAAGCTTCTGAATTTCATGATTTTTGACGTCACGAATCAAAACAAGCGAGGAATTTTTTTTTTCGCGATTCCGTTTTTTTTTTGCTCGTTTATGACTACAATTTTCATCGTTTTCGACAATAAAAAAATACGACCCTTGGGGTGTCAGTGCCCCTTTAAGTCTATTATTATACTTATATTGTAAAGTGGAGTAAAATCATTTTCTCATAAGCGCTAAAATAGAAGTTTACTAATGACAGTAGATTTCCCGTTTTTCGCTGGCCACTGAAAATTATAATAATACATAGACTTTCCTGCTGAAAACGCTGCTGATAAAATAACCCCCCCCCCCCCCACCTTTTTTTTTCTCTTTTCTATTTCCGATTAGAAATGTTTAACGTCCTTTTCAGTGCACTTAATGAAATACAAATATATTCTACCTGGCCATCATCTTAATTTTTCAATAGAGACGCCATATCAATTTCGTCTATATCGTGCCTTGACACAGCCCCAACGACCAAGTTAATTTTTTAGGTATTGGAATCATGTGAGTCATGTCTCTTTGCAGCCAACTTTATCGTATCCGCCATTAACGCCACCGTGGACCCATGTGAAGATTTTTACGGTTTCGCCTGTGGCAAATGGATATCATGTAATCCTATTCCTGACGGCAAAGAAAGCATCAGTTCCCTTGAGAAGAGTGAAGACCGTTTAATCAGCGACATCTCAGGTAAGATTATTATGAATGGAGTACGATATTTTCATTTTAAATCGAGATATGCTTTCTCGAAACCCGATGCAGTTAAAAGCATGCATGCATTTCCAACTTGACTCGGCACATGCCTTAATTTATTTTATATGTATATTTACGGTATTAGGCGGCCAATCCTCGAAGTGCGATGTCCGGGAATATCTATAGTGTGCTCGCCAAGGGTCGAGAATGCGCTCGAATGTATAAACGTGTAGCTATTAGTGTTATTTGTAAAATAGGCATATATGTACCGCCGAGTTTTCGTTGCCTCAAATATGATCACCATTCGCAAACCATAGCTATCTGAATTCTTACTAGGTTGGATACAGCTTGTTTTTACCCTTAGCTATAAAAGCTTAATTTTTTTTACATGGGAATTGGGACTCGAAACGTCATTATGAAAGCAAATGGAATCGCGAAAACTAAAATCCCGCCCCCAAAAAGAAACGTTTTATATGTACCTTAATAACCTCGTATGTGAAAAAAATAAATTTTTCAGGCGTAAAAAAAAAATACATAAGGCAATATGTTTGCCTAGGCACTCAATTTAGAAGGAGCTATTTCTGCATTGCGCCGGCTGTCGTCCGTTCCGCTTTTCCCTTCTCGCCTTCTTCCCTTTACTCAGCCATCTCAGCCCACACCCTCCCAGCGTGCTGGAGATACGCTGTGGCGTACATCTCCTCCGCTCTCCTCCAGCCAATAGAAGGTTCACAAAATTACTTCTACTTTGACGTCACTGTGATGCTACTTTCCCAATAGATGTCATTTTCTAAGGAGTATGCAGTCGAGCTGACTAGGAAACATCATAATCTAAACACTGAGTCAGGGCAAATAAAGTAAGCGAAAATAACGCCTCGTTCGTTATTTTATTTGTCCGTGCCCGGATTTAGAATTTCACGCCGTTTTAGATAGAACGTGGACAAACAGAATTGCACCGAAATTAAGATGCGTGTCGCGCCGTAAATATTGCCGTAATAATATTTTTCCTTTTGGATAAATAGCACTTTCTAACATACGTACCTTATTCAGGGAGTTAAACAAATTCTGGCGAGACCACAGTTTCTATTTCGGCTGGGCATAGTATCCACTATTAAACATTTTAAGGCATAGGAAGCCGAAAAATTAAACTCGTGGTTTCCGACCGGTTCAAACCGCACGTAAACTCTTTAAAGATGACTTTACCAACGGCCTGATTTTGTGAAACTAGACAATTTCAGAATTGTAACCACCATGTTTTCGATAGGTTTTGTCATTTATTTCATACCTTGTACTTTACTTTTTGGCAGTGCAGTATTTACGGGTTTATTTATGCAAACCCTAACCCCCCCCCCCCCCCCCCCACACACACACACACACACACATACACAAAAAGGGGTGGAGGGAGTGGAGAGTTTCTGATTTGGAGACCACTCTTTGAAGATTGGGTAATCGAAATTTATATATGGTTTTAATTTCAGCAATACTCAACACAACAACTTGCAAGTATGAGGACCAGAACGCCACAGACAAAGCTATTATTTACTACAAGGCTTGTCTCAAAGGAGGTATGACCATGGTTCATTCAGACCACGGTTTAAGAGGGCTCCGGTGGAGTAACGCCGTATCCGGAAATGTCCGACTTGCATCTCTGGTTCTCATGCGCGCCACCCAATGGCGCCATGCAGCGAAGCTTTGCACGTGCTAAACTGAACGTGACAGCTAAACACGGCTCTTTGAAGCGGCTATGGTTATTTCTGATGTTATGTAGGACTATGAACCGTTCCAGAAAAGGCGTTCTGACCGGTGTTATTATCAGCGTGTTTGCGTATGGCGTGTTTTCTTTCAATTTAAAGCGAGAAACGCGTACGAGCTGGGCTCTTGAGATCGCGAACTGGACTGTGGAATGGTAAACGTTAAGTTTGTACAGTGCGTTACAAAAAGTTGTAAACGGATTTCTTTTTTTTTTTTTTTTTTTTTTTTGTTAGGTAGCGGGATGTGCCCGGGAACTTTGTTGGCACTGCGTCATTCGGTAGAGTAGCAATCCTTGAGGAACTGGATGTGGCCCTTGAAGACGGGTTTCCAAGATTTGTTCATAAACCTTGATCTAAATTCTTATGACAAATAAATTCTTCCGGCTGCAGCAGGCGACCTTTGTGCGGGATCGCGTCACGTCACGTCTTTAGGCTGTCCTCTTCTTTGGGAGTAGCAAAAAGGGTTAGCTTTTCCGTTCACGTTTTGTATTCCGCGTTGCACCGTAGCCCAAACACTTCTTCCCCATCGCCGGTAACTTCCGAAAGCCGAAACTGTCCAGAATCAAAAAGATTACCAAGGAAAACAGCGCGGCGTTGCAGCCCGGCGCACGCTATCGCCTGCTACCACTCACGAAAGAACATAATGGGTGTTGGTGGCGCGCCCTGGCGACAGGAAAGAGAATTGCGCGTCGATCTTCACCACGACGGCTCTTCGGGGGAGGCCCAGCGTTACGCCACCTGAATTATTTCTATCACCGTGGTTTAGACCAGATAGAAACGCTTGGGTGACCCGCCAGGTTAACTAGTCTGATTACGCTTGCTGCTTAATGAACTACTAACCATTGTAAGGTCAAGGATCCGGGTTGACAACGCTCAGTCTTGAGGTTATCTGAAGGCGAGAACTAATCACTTGTATACGTGTACAATTTACGACTGCATATTTATAACCTTCACTGCTCCATAGGGTCAAGAGATACTGCTTCTACCTAATGGTGTGTTAGGTTGAATTACACAGGTAGGCTCTCGTCCTTTCTTGGCTTGAGGAGGGGAAGGGGGGGGGGGGTCGAAAGAGACATGTCAGAAACCCATGTGACATCACGGACGGAGCGTACATATTTTTCCCGTTAAATATAAGGGAAGCTGTTCTCTCTAAAATTAGTGGCCAGTTGCCTTCTATTGGAGCCCCATTTAACTTTAAAACTCAGCGGAGAAGGATTCTCCCTTTTTCAGGAGTTTGACGGGAGTCTATGAATTTTTGAAAACGAGAAAACATTTGTTGTATGATGGCATCGTTCTTGTAGAAGGAATTCAAAATGGAAACATCGAAAACTCGTTCCAAATTTTGTCTCTGATAAAAAAAATATATATATATATATATATATATTTTGTTAGTCAAATAGTTCACTTTCCCCTCCGAGACATGGCACGAAGCATGACGTTTCACGTTTTCGATACAGTTGGAACTAAAGCTGGCTTGAAATGTCCACGTTATCAACTTCTAAATTATGCAAACAACAAAGAGCGAAACGATTATTACTGAGCTGTACGAAAGAAGGACAGGTTTTTTGTCTGGTCAGTTTATATGACGTTTTTTCTAGGGGGGTTCCAAACTAGCACAGTGAAGTCTGACTTCTCGGCAAAAGATTTTATGTACAAAGGTTGACGGTGAATGTCGCATTTCCGTCTTTATTCACCGTACAAACTGTTCTTCCCTTCCCTAAAAAATTTCAATCTAACTCAAAGGAAGGAAAGACGCCAGGGGGCCGAGCGAAGCAGAATTGCTCCACATGGGCTCCTGCCCTTTTTAGGCAGTTAACGCGAAAGTACCAAAATATCCTTATAATCTTCAGTGTCATTCAATTCACCAAGAAAAGCGGCACCGAGGGATACCCTAGCTGTACAAGTGAGTGAATTTTTCGGCCACATTTCCACCTTGGAAAGATCTACCTCGTATGCGGAGAGATAAGCCTCACCAGGAATACAAGTGGTCGCCATCTTGGCTATACTCGAACACGGGGCACCCGCCGAGGGAAAGAAATAAGCGAGACCCAACGCCGAAACCCGCTTTGCGCGCGGGCCTTCCGGCCCCGCAAGCATGATACATATGCAAGTAACAAAGCAGGGAGTGAACAACGAGATAGACATGGAGAACAGCGCGAGTACCAGAACGAGCGGCACGCACATGGAGTTCGATGAAAACAGCGGCAGGACGCTGAGCCAGCCTGGCCCGTGGTACGAAGTTCTCAAAGAAAGAAAAAGCCAGAAAACAGCGGATGAGAACCGCATAAAAGGAAACAGCAAGGCGAACAGCGCCCTGAATCTAAAAGAAGAGACGAGTGGGCTGACCAACCCAAAGATGCAACCGACCAACAACCAACTGCAGCAACAGCGACGCGGGGACGGAAGAACCCGCGGAGGCAACAACACGCCACCAAGGAAACGCAGGTTGCCGCCATTACCAGAGAATGAATACAAGGTAGTATACAGACCAAGAACGGGCCTCAAGCTTTCTTCGTGGTCTGATAAAAGCCACATGCAAGGCATCGCCACAGCAGGCGGTTTTCCATTCAAAGACTTCTACTCGAATGTGACGATCCAGACGCAATGGGCTCAGAACTTGATCATCGCAAGTACTGTGGACGAGGACTACGCCATGAAGCTGAGCATGATCACCCAGATACAGCTAGGCACGGCCTTGTACGAACTCATGCCTTACCTAAAACCGCTCCCTGGCACCGTACGAGGAGTGGTGCATAGAATAGAAGCAGGAACAACAGAAGAGGAACTTAAAGAACTTATCTCAGTCAACGGCTACAGCATTCTGCACGCAAGAATGCTCGGAAAATCCAGCTCGGCGCTACTCACGTTTGAGGGACCGCACGTGCCATTCTACGTGAAAGCGGGTAGCGTGTTCACCCGATGCCGGCCCCACCGCAGATCCGTGCAGTACTGCAGAGCCTGCGGGAATGCCGGCCACAGACAGGACGTCTGCCCCAACCCGGACACAAACAGGTGCAACCGATGCGGAGCGGAAAATCCTCAAGACAATCACGAGTGTCAGCCTAAGTGCAAGCTGTGCTACCAACCCCACGAAACGGCAAGCAAGGAATGCCAGAAACGACTCAAACCAAGCCCCCCACCGTTACACGTGAGGGAAAGAAGCAAATCGCAAAGTAAACAAGCCACTTGGACGGGAGTTGCAAACGACCGCCCTTTCGAGCAGCAGCAACGGACGTCATTGCCGCAGGACAGAGTGGTGAGCTGGCCCCAGCTGGGGTCCCATTCTCCCAATGCTCCAGATCCCTTTCCCCCTCTGCCGGTCACGCAGCAGGATTCAAGTAACGCACATTTCGAGCAGACCATAGACACACTTAAGAAACAGAACGCGGAGCTAATCTGGCGCTTAGAAAACAACGAAAAAAAAGCGAAGGCTAGGGAACAGGCCCTAGAGCAGAAACTGCAACAGTTTATAGAGCAGATGCAGAAACAGCAGCAACAACTGCCGCAAATACCGCCGCGAGCTCCGACACCTCTGCCGGGGGACCTCGAACAAAAAATGGAATATCACATGAACAAATTAGATGAGAGGATCGATCAGAAGATTGATCAGACAATGAGCCAGATGACAAAAGCAGTTGAACATAAAACGAACAAAATGATGGAAACCGTGAATAAGGTCTTTGAAAACGTTAATCCAACCATCATCCAAATGAGTACGACCCTCAACGCCAAGATTGATCGAATGGGGGAGACCCTCAATGCCCAGATGGGCAAGATGGGTGATGAGCTCAACCAACGTATTTACGACCTTGAGAAGGAAAGGGAACAAGCCCGAAAGAAGCCGAAAACGTCGCCAGGAGGGGATGCGCTGACAGAAGAAACGATCAGAACCCACAATGGAGAGTAAAGAGACGGGAAAGAAGGACGCGGCCCAAATCCTCAAAATCTGGCAGTGGAATTGCCGATCGATTAACCGGAAAAGACAAAATCTACTACAATTTATCAGCCGTCATCAACCGGATATCATCGCGCTACAAGAAACAGAAACAGACACCATAAAGATACGGGGCTACGAGACACACATAGCCGAAGGAAGAAACCGGACAGCCATCCTCACCAAGAAACACTACACAACACAACAACACCAAATCAGCCACAGAATTGAGCACACTTTGATAGAGATGTTACCACAAAAGAAGACATTACAGAGTCTATTTATCCTGAATGTTTACAGCCCGCCCTCGGACAACCTAAAGGACTTGGACAAGTTCCTGAGGGAGGTAAAGAAAGTTACCAAAGGGCAGAAGATACTCGTAGTTGGGGACTTCAACGCACCGCATGTAGCGTGGGGATACCACAAAACCAACAAGAAGGGCACGGATGTGCACAATGCGGCTCAGCACCACCAACTGACGCTGTGGAACGACCCTCAGTGTCCAACCAGGATTGGAAACAGCATCTCCAGGGACACAAGCCCCGACTTAACTTTCTCGAAGGGCATACGGCAAATCGAATGGACGAGGCTGTAAGAAACCCTAGGAAGCGATCACTATATAATTCAAACCGAACTCCGACACAACAAGACTCCATTGAGAACGGGACAAGCGAAGATCACGGGCTGGACAGCGTTCCGAAAGGTGGAACACCCAGCGGACATGGACGATATTGAAGAATGGACCAGGCAAGTGATGGAAGAGGTAACCAAGCACACCAAGACGATACAAGTCACTTCGAACAACCCCGAAGTTGACCCGCACTTACTCCACCTCTAGGAGGCCCGACAGGGCCTCCTAAAAAGATGGAAGAAACAAAAG